TTGACTTCAACTTCATTCTATGACTAAAATTTCAACTTCTTTCAGTAATTGCATTTCAACATTTAATTTCTTTTAATGCTTGACCTTTGGCTGAATCTTGCTTTAAGTGATTCTGTTCAACCGCCACTTAAAGCCGCAGTAGGTACATTTCATAAAAATAACTTTTTGTCATATTTGCTGACAAATATATATATTTAACTATCAAAACAGATAGTTGATTGTTTAGTCAGGAGACTCAACATCCCTCCATCTCTCTCAGGTCTCTGTTTTTTGTTCAGCCATTAGGAGCACAAGGAGGAGCCAGAAGGAACATGGTTTTTGAACAGATGATCTGTTTCATGTACTACTGTCAGGATACAGTTAAAGTTTAAGCATATATGCTCAAAAACATTTTAACACACACAATGTACCTACTCCTTCATTCTTCAATGTCAAACTGTTTTCTGATACGTTCATTTTCAGCCATCACTGCCATACAAAGATATTTTAAAATCATCCCATATCAAAGCAACAGAACAGTTTCTGGATGAATTAATTCCCTTCCTGAAGCCTCTGCTCTTCTGATACCAACCTCCTGTCTCTACCACTGAGGACCAAGCATCGTACCTGGGGCGACAGAGCCTTCTCCATCGCTGCCCCCTCCCTCTGGAACTCTCTTCCCAAACAAATCCAAGACTGCACTGATCCATCCAACTTCAAATCACTGATCAAAGCCCACCTTTTCAGAACTGCTTTTAATGATTAAATCATTCGAGTGTTGTAGATATAGCTATAATTTCTTATTGTGTTGTATTTATTACCTTTTTCTTTTCCTTTTTAACTTATGTTGTCTGAGTTTCTTGAAAAGCGCTCTATAAATTAAATGTATTATTATTACTACTATTATTATTATTATTATTATTATTGGCTTGACTTGAAAAAGCTGTCTAGCTGGCCATACAGTCCTTTATTGATTTCCTGATTTATTTTGAACAAGGGGACAAGGGCCAACCCGCATCTTACCTGTCATTCCAAAATTCTATGCTTGGCTTGTATCCCCCACAAAAAAAGGTTAAATCGGATGTCTGAAAATAGTATTTATTCTGAAATACAGAACGGGGGATGAGGTGCCTAACTGTGCTGCAATAAATATATGTGTAAGTTTATTAGTAAAGTGGTTTTAGTATGTTTTAATGCCATTTTAAAAGTATGACGTATATTTTCATGACTATCGTGATAATATCGTTTCCAAGATAATCTTGATATGTGATTTTCATCATCCCATGCCTACTCAATGAATTAATTAACATGTACGTAAATGAAAGCAGACTTGGATTTAAATTTCAAATGTTTACTTGACATACAGGTGTTTGTTCGATTATATAAAACCTGTCAAACTCACATGTTTAGCAAGTGGGATAGATCAGTTTGAGGTGATAAAGAGTGCTCAGTGAATAATGAATAATAAGTCCTTAGGTGTTTATTGTGTTTCTCTCCACAATAAACAGTGTGGACGCTCCAAGGTCTTAAAACAAACAGTCTGTTTGCTATGTGATAAAAGAAAAATATAAAATACATTTCATTTTTCTCTGTTTAATGAAATGTAAAATGTATTCTATTTCTTTTGGCTGCAGTTTCTCAGTAAAACCTGAGATTGCAGAAGAAGTGTCTTCTGTCTGCAGGCTTCTGTTCTCTGAAGCCTCAGGCGGGGACAGCCGCCGGCTGTTTGATGTGACAGCTCAGTCTGTTTGGGGACAGTGATGTAATCTTCATCTGAGCATGTGTGAACGTTCGGTCTGAATCTGCTGCATCAGTCATTTCTCTTGGTAAAAATAACCCGGAGTAAAACTGAAACTGCTGTAGGCCATTTCTAGTCCTTATCAGAACAGAAGAAACACGAACATTGTCGTCACTCAGTTGTTCTTGACACTGTGGGAAAAAAAGAAACCTCAAAAGGTCCACTTACTAGCTTTGTGGGGCTTTCAATACACTCTTCCCTGGTTGCATCTCAGTCTTTATTATAGGGCTGGGGGTAAACGATTATTTATTAAACGATTCGACTAATCTACCGACTAATTGGATGATTAACGTGAGTCAGCTAACGTTAGACAGATAACGTTAAAAGCTACTGCAATCTTCTTGCTACCGTTAGCTAGATCTAGCAGCTGTGCATTTTGGTGGTGTTAGGCTAACCAACGCATCTTAGCTGTCTCTCTGAAACGGAGGCACCTCTTTGCCACTCACGAAGGAGACAACAACAAGCACCAACGCTGGCCAAATCAATCTCATGCCCGTGCAGCACGCCGCGCAGCCCGAGCTCCGCGCACCCCGGTGGCGCCAGCCAACCACCCCAGCCCCCCGCGCAGCCCGCCCGCGGCAGGCCAGCAGCAAAAGCCCACGGTAGCCAACGTTAGCTACTATAGATAGCTGTGTTCTGCAGCCGTAAGCCGGCTACCATTCAAGCCAACATTAGATGATAACTAACGTTAGCTAAACACAGCTGTCTAGGTGCCAGTAGCTAGCCAACGTTAAAGTTAGCCACCAACCCAGCACGAACAAACCGCACGGAGAGCCAAGACAGCCAGCCAGCACCACCGAAGTGCGCAGAGCCCGAGCCCCACAACACACCACACAAACATGAAACCAACCCAGCCAACGCCAGCACCCACCTGCCACCGTCTCCTCCACGAGCGACAACGGGGTCCCTCCGCCCCAGATGCTCCCACATTGCCAAATGGAGTTGGCATACCACACCAGCACCACAGCAAAGAGCGCAAATAACGACACCTTTACGTTTGGGACTAAATTTGAAGTATTCCCACACCTTCGATGATTTAGGGCGAGCTGTTTTTTTAGGACTTTTTCTTTTATTGGGGCTTTTATTGGGAATTCTGTGAGGAGGTTGCTGTTTCATCCTCCATTCTGCAATGTTTTGGTCTTCCACGTGTGTGTGTCGAGCTGTGGCGTAGCGTCAACACAAAAATTTGACGTTGACGTATTTTTGGCGCCGACGCGTCGCTACAGGCCTACTTTATTAGCATATACTCTATTATGGAACTGGCTCTGGTGGGACTTAGGTGTAAACAGGTGATATGGGGAAGGATTGTAAAATGAACATGAATCCCTGGGCTTTATGGGTCTACTGGGGAGGTCTGAGGCTTCAGTTAGCTGCTGAGCTAAACACAAACACGCAGAAACATGGTCAGTGTGTCTGTTGCTGGTTCACAGCCAACGTACAAAAATTAACAAGTCATATCTCAGAATCATGGAAAGTTTGAACATCACATTTCCATCTCGACAGAAAGAGAGATATTTAATCAAAAACCAAACATTTCAAAATCACGGTCTGTACAAAGGTTACAGGTTAAAGATAATTGTCTCTCGGTGCTGCTGCTGGCTCAGCTGTCAATCAAACTTGAGTTGCCCACTCAGAAGCTTGTAGGTCAAACAAGCATTTTTATGGCTTTATTAGAGATTTTGACTACAGAGAGACAGAATACATAGGAAGTGAGATGGGGAACAACATGAAACAAAGGGTCCCTGGCTGGACTTGAACAAGAAACTTTGAAGTTCATGGCCAGCGTCTTAACCTCTCATCCACAGGAGTGTCCCTAGTTTCAGACTGAGATTCAGGGCGCCGTGTTGCTTGTACAGATTTTCCTCACACAGGCTTGATGTCCAAATTAGTGTCATTATCAGTCGTGCAGAGGGTTTTTGGTTTAAATCTAAAACAACTCTTCAAATCCTAGCTGAACAGTAGCAGCAGAAAAAGACTGATAAACTATATTTAGAGGAAATCTCTGTGAATCGCTCCACCTGTCCTCTAGATCCCCACAGACACGATAATGAGCAAAATCCTCCATCTGGCAGCTCCCTTACAGCAAACTCAACCCAAAAACTGTTGTCTGAATGTGCTAAATTTAATTCTGCTCTAACTGGTTTTGTGTCAAGAGGCAGAGCAGGCTGGGCTGCGCCTATGTGTGATCAGAAACTAATCAATCATCAATCAGTCAGTCAGAACAAATTAGGTATAACTCTGTTTCGCAGAGACACTCATGTGTCTGAAAACAAATAACTCTAACATGTGTAGGAACAGAAAATGAACACTGTAATTTTAAGACAGGCAGTCAGCCTTCAGTTTGGAAGAATTTATTGACTATTGGCAGTAGCTAGCCCCTCAGCTTTGTATTTCTCTCTTTGTAAGACATATATTCTGTATCCACAGAGTGTGGAGGTTCATGTACATTTTTATTGCCTTTCTAAAACCAAAAACACAAGAAAAACGTGTAAGTAATGTATAAAAAGTGTTTTTTCTGCTCTAATGGTGGAATTGTGAGCACTACTAGTAGTACTAGCTAGCATTACTGTACTTCCGATCAAACAGTAACCTCTGTGGTTGGAAAATGAAGCCAACACAGAAGTGCCAAAAATGGCAGTTCCTCGAACGACCACTTGAGGTCGGTGACAGAAGTGAGTCAATCTCCAGGAGGCCCCATATTAAAATGCCCAACAGCATAAATAAACATGTTTACTGCATGATACAAGAAACGGTTTTACTCTCTAAAGCTAAATTCCCAGTTCATGACAACTGTACTTATAAATTGGGTCATGAATTAGCAGGGAGCCGGCGGATTCAGGACTTCCAAGATGGGGAGGGCCACAGCGATCACACTGAGCTTCAGAAACCTATGGGTGACGTCACAGAGACAGTCTATGCTTCCAATATATCAGGATACCTTGACGTGTATTGAAATACAAGTTACAATTCCATGTAACGTTACAATACAAATATACCCTGTAAAACAAAAGTTTGAATAAAAAAGAAAAATAACTTAAAATGATTCATAACTGCAATATGAAAGCGTCTATCAGTGAGTTTCAACCTGCCGTCATCAGTGTCACACAAAAACATACAGTATGTATGTAGGTGCTGCTGACGGTGTGCGTTTCCATTTATAAACTCTGCTGGAGGGCTGAACATTACATAAAACATGACAGTACATTATTTATCAGAGACTCACCCGCTCTGCCGACTGTGCTGTGCCAAAGAAGATGGGGATGAAGGCGAGCCAGATGATGCAGGTTGTGTACATAGTAAATCCAATGGGTTTGGCCTCGTTAAAAGTCTCTGGCACGCCGCGCGTTTTGATGGCGTAAACAGTGCATGTGACCATCAAGAGGATGCTGTATCCCAGAGAGCAGATGAGCGACAGGTCAGAGATGTCACACTTGAGGACACCGCGAGCATTCTCAGGATCCTGCGTGCGCTGTTCACCATAGTCCACAAAAGTGTGCGGTGGGTCGGCGGCGAACCACACGAGGATACCCAGCAGCTGGACCGAGATGAGCGAGAAGGTGATGACAAGCTGGGAGGCTGGTGAGATGAAGCGTGGCGCCGTCACTGCTTTCTTACCCTGCTCGAAGATGCGGTGAATGCGGTTGGTCTTGGTAAGCAGCGCAGCGTTGCTGAAGCACATGCCGAGTCCCAGGAAGATGCGACGGAACGAGCAGACGACAACATCAGGTGCAGCAATCATGGGGAAGGTGATAATGTAACACAGGAAGATGCCTGTCAGCAGCACGTAGCTCATCTCTCGCCCTGAGGCCCGAACAATGGGTGTGTCATTGTAGCGAACAAAGGTGACGATGACAAAGGTGGTGGCGATGATGCCCAAAACAGAGATGAAGATGGGCAACAGCGCCCAGGGCGAGTGCCACTCCAGCTTGATGATAGGGATAGGCTGGCAGCCTGTGCGGTTCTGGTCAGGTCTCTTCTCGTAGGGGCAGAGGTCACAGGTGAACTCACTGGCCTGGAAGTGGTATCCCTCACAACGCTCACAGTGCCAACAGCATGAGACGCCCTTCACCACCTTCTTCCTCTCGCCGGTCTGGCAGGGCAAGCTGCACACCGAAGCCGGCAGGGAGGAGTCGCCGGTGGTCCACTGCAGGGTGTCCATCTGAGGGGAGGGAACAGGAACCAGACTTGTCAACATCCATCTTCAAACTGAGAAGCTGAACAAACAGCTCAGCAACAATGTAATTATCATTCAGCGACATCTTAGTTTAACCACAGCACTAAATGCGAATTCAGGGTTTATTAAATTGTCGGTAACCATAGCAACAGTAGCGTTGCCTCAGGCTCTGCTAACTTACTGGTGAGTTAAACTGATCACAAACACACTCTAAAACAAGGAGGAGGATTTAAACACAGACATTTTTTGTTCCAGGGGACACAATGTTCACCCAGCTATCCACGTAAACACCATAATGGACTCCCACACAGAGACAATATGGATTAATAATGTGGAAATGTTGCAGGAGTTTACAAAGCTAACAAAAGACAGTTATGTGTGTGAGTGATAAAAACATAAATTGCAGCATTACTGACTTTTAAACAAAACAGTGTGTTTCTGTTCGGTGCAGAACAAATCACTGCTGCAGGGCTTCAAACATGACTGCTCGCCAATAAATTATTTGTAACTTTCATGGAGCAAACAAAGTGTTTCATTTAGTAAGTGGACCTTGAGTCGAGATTATTCTGTTGAACTGCTGTTTCCAAGAACAAGAGCAGGATTTGAAACATGTTGTTTGCTCCATTAAATTGAGACCGATTGAGATTATTGGCCTTACATTTAGATGCAGATGATTGGTCCAGTGTCCAATGACCTTGTATTCTGCCACCGACCTATTGTTGATTTGATACTGGAAGATGTCGTAGCGTCCGGGAGCATCACCATTCTCGTTGAATGTGACCGGAGTCCCTGCACTTCCTGTAAAAACACAAAGGAAAGAACATTCAGACACTGACAGATATCTATTTAGGTGCAGGGACAGTAGTTTTCACATCACCAGAACAACCTCCACCGTGGCTGGGCTGTAATACGGTATGATGGGACACCAATACTTTTATGGTTGTGTGATCAAGTTTGTCTTTTAAGTTTATGAGCAGTAGCTTCTTGATGCTAGGCCACTTGTCCCTTGCTCCTCCATTTGTCAGAACTGCTCTATCTTAGATCATTCATTTGTAAGTGTGACGATCGTACCTTTGGCCCATTTAAATTGCAGCTTACTGATTGGTCATGTCACTCAAATTGGTCCTTCCTCTATAGTTTCAAGAAAATATGAGATGAAAGACAGAAACATTAATCCTAACCAATGGAGGTGGACGATGATGTGTAGAACCAACATGTGTTTAGCCATATGTTGTAGTGTTAGAGCATATTGATGTAGATTATACTGCAAGAGGGTTTTTATTTTATGAGGCAACTTTTTTTCTACCACATCCACACATATGGGGTAAACACCAGGACAACCTTATTGCTGTCCGACAAGAGTTACAATCACGATGGGCTCTAGAGGCTTGAAAGCAAACAACTCTCATTTAGCTGAAATGACTGATGCTTATTTTAGGACAACCTCAAGGACGTGTTAAGGCTCTTATCATTAGGGCTTGTCTTAGTCAACGCTCTTAGTCAGATAGTCACAGAAAAACAAAAAGGTTAAACTGTTTGGGGGCTGAACCTTACTGGGACAAAGTATCAGGAGATTGTTGCAACAGAGACCTTTTCTCTTGTAACACAGGAATTCTTTTGCCGGTGCACTGCTGCATGTGCTAACTGTAGCTGCTGCCACTAGCTAGTTAGCAGATCTATTAACTGATTGTACCCAGACTGCGAGCTCAATGTACTGGAGGAAGTTTGTTTACAGCACTAGCAAAGGCGCTTTGGACTGCCAGGGGAAGGGACTCAGCTCAGGTCGCAATGAGCACCAGAGCCAGAGTGGGGCAACCTAGTCCTCTAGGAAAATCTTCATTCGGGGACAGCCCTTGTTGTTAAAAAACACACATTAGGGCGCCCGGTTAGGTCAGTCGGTAGAGCTGGCGACCCATGTACAAATTTGCCAGGGTTCGAATCTGACCTGCGGCCCTTTGCTGCGTGTCATCCCCCCTCTCTCTGCCCCCCTTTCCTGTCTGTCTTAGGCTGTCACGATCCAATAAAGGCAATAAAAGGCCAAAAAAAAAAAAAACACACATTACAGTCAAATCCAGGATTAAGAGCTCTCTTCAAGGACCATACTGATGTGTTTTAGCTCATTTGCTCTGAACAACACATACTTTACATACTGTGTGCTGAGAATATTGATGTCTGTCCATTTGGATCAGTGGTTCCCAACCTTTTTCCTTAAGGGACCCCTTTTCTGTCATTGAGTAAACTGACTCGGGGACAGCCCTGTAGTTTACCTCTAAATGTCTGCACCCTGGGGGAGTTACCTGCTTTGCCTTGCTTGTAAGCCAACCTTGCCTTGACTACTTGCTGAAGATGTGTTGTATGCATCCGGTGTGTGTTACTGGCTTCAAATGTCTTGTGGGAAATGACGCAGTCTACATGATGTGGTCAGTGTGCATTGTACCTTTTTCAACAAAATATCTTTTTGTATCCAAAACACATCTCTGTCTGCAATGTCTTTTGGAGCAGTAAGCTGTTTCCTCTATTTTCGTCTTGAGTTTTCCTCTCAGTCTGAGTCATCTTATCACAGTTTTCCTGGCGCTTCATCACCAAAACGACCACACAAACGTCTTGTCGCCATATTGACTAAATCTATCCTGCCAAGTTAAAATCACATGCTGTCTGACACTGTTCACACTTAGCCAGCAGTTTAATAATACACCTGAAAGCAAGATTCAAAAACCTTTTTCATCTCAGCTGGTGACTTCAGTCAGACTCAAATGATTTGATTTCCATCATTATTTCTCATCACACATTGTAGAAACGTAAATTAATACAATTCAGATGTTTTTACATACCTATATTAGTCTATAGTGGTTTTTCTTCTGTCATACTCAAAAAATAAGTGTTCATTAATAAATACTTAATAATGAATGGATTTTTCTTAAATTGTTGACATGATTTGACGTGAATTTTGTGCAATAACTTTGGTTTAAAGTAAACAGCAACAAGGACAGCTGTGAAAATTCTCAGACACAGTGAGAACAGAATGGGAAGAAAATGTGAACAAGCTGCTGAACATCCCTCAAAGAAATGAATTAATGAATAAATGCATGATATTTTGCAATGTAAATTTTTATGGTGTTCCTTTTTTTAAGCTGAATATTTACCCATTTTTCTAATATTCATAACAGGAAGGTGTAATTGCATCCAAGAAGCATTCAAGATGGAATCCGATTGTTGGATTTGTTGGAAGTGGTTTGAGACACAATACATCTTTACATAGCCTATAATCTTTTTCTTCATACATGCCTGCATCACAATAAGGAATCCAAAATGTTGGATTTTTTTAGTGTTTGGAGCGTATGAACATTTCAACGAACACTTGGACGTTCAGTTAATCCTCCTAAACTTGATGTTTTGTTTTCAGATTCAGTCTCTGAGTCTCTTTCTTTCTGCTCCTGTATTCACTGCATTGTGTTGTTCATGTACAGTAGTGCTGTATTCCTAGCTACAGGGCAAATTTAACATCGGGGGCAACAGTCTCGAACTTGAAGCGGATTAGTTTGGAGCTGCTGAAGCCGAGAGGAATAGCAGCCGATTGGAGTTAAAGAGCAGAACAACAACAACAAAAAAAGAAAACAGATTTATAATGAAGTGAGTGGGTGCTGGTTTGATTCTATACTGCCCCGATTTCCTTCCTCGACATGAATAAAAGCATCACAAATCACATCAGCATGGCGATGAATCACTAAAGCTTGCCTTAGGATGTAGAAACCCCTCCCAACCACCACCACCTCATCTTTCCCATCCCCCGCTTCACTTAGTTTCACTACCGAGGATCTGTGTTGATACAGAATTAACATCTGCGCTCCACATTATTTCCTGCAACACGGTTATCATGATAACTCTGTGGTGACACAAGCTGCAACTTCAACATTTAACATAATAAGATGATCCACCAAAAACAATCTGCCCTGTAGGATAAAAAACATACACATAGTCAAACCCAGGATAGAGAGCTCTCTTCAAGGACCGATGGTTTCATGTTTTTGAAACAGCACATACTTTACATACATTAACAGTTAACAAAGGTCATGTTATGCTAAGGATATTGATGACTGTCCATGTAGATCAGTCGCTCCCAACCTCTTTCCGTGAGGGACCCATTGATGTCCATGATGTAAACTGATGACCCCTGACTGTGTGACATATTTTATAGATATTTCACATTATATTCAATGCATAACAATACCAACTGACCAACTGACCAACTGTACAATGAACCCAAATAGTGAACCCAATACGTGCAGAGAAGTTTGTACAAAACGAGCAATTTGGATGAATTTTTAGTCAATTATTTCATGTAAATACTGAGTCAGGGATGAGATTTCCTGACATATTTAAGGAACTTTTTATTTTTTAAGGCCCCTTTATTGCCTTTATTTGCCACTGACAGTGATAGCGAAGAGTGACAGGCAAAGGGGGTGACACACAAACTACTGTAGAAACACAGCAGTTCATCATAGAGGATTGTTTGTTGGAGACCAGAGCTAAAAGGAGAGTGAACTTAGATTCATCATATGGACTGAAACATGACTCCAGTGGGACGATCATGTTGCTCTGTGACTGCTGGATGTGGAAGTAGGCAACCGTTTACTAACATGTTAGCCACAAATGGAGTGAGCTAGCGCTGCTAACTAGTTCAAGCAGTCAACTCGAGCTGCACTGCTATACACACATGACATCCCTCACTTTCCATAATCACAAACCAAACACAACCTTCCAGTTTGTTCTGGATCAGGTTCTACCCTGAATTGGTATCCAGTTTCAGTCTCAATGACTGGTATCAGCAGCAATCAAGGCTTTTTTTAACCGATTGGTATCGGCTATATTTAGCTCTATTGATCCGATCCAACCTTTTGTTTTACATCAGCTGTTTTTACTCAAAACCTTTTTATGCACGGTGCAGTCATCGTCAACTTTCTCTGCCTCTCTACTCTGCTCTGCGTCAGTGTGACAGCAGTGCCAGCCCCTGCTCGGAGGAGAGAGCGGTAGAGAGCTGACGCAGCCACACTCAATACGCCACTACAAGTGCAACAAAAGCCCTGCGCACAAAAAGCCAATAAGAGTAATTAATGAATGCAATCTATGCAAAAGACATTCTGTGAAAATGACAGAAATAAACACTACAGACAGAATACAGACAATTAATTCAGGAAACTCAGACTGAAGTAACAATCACTGGAGATAGAAACCCCCTCCAGACAACGACAAGACCAAAAAGATTACAGAGAGGGTTTGTTATTTTATACTTATATTTTGTAAACTTTACTTTGCAAACTTCAATGCAGGCATTTTGTTGCTTTTGAATTGTTAGGTACATACACTGGATTGATTTTAATAACTTTAATGTACTTGAAATGTGCACCGTATAATCAAAAAATAAATAAAAATTGGCAGATACTCAATATTAAATGACTCGGATCAGAGTGGGAGCTAAAATAACTGGATCCCTAGTAACAAAGTGGCTGACTGTGAACCTTTATTTCCAGGCTCTTTATATTTTGCTGCCATCAGTGCTGTCACAGCTGCAGTTTGTCATTAAATGACAGCAGAAAGAGACCTGGTGCTCCATTAATCCAAGATCTGTTCGATCTGACAGCAGTAGCTCTTCTCCACCAACTGACAGGAAGCGTGTGAAACACAGCGGAGCGAGGCTTCTGAGTTTTATTGAACCGGTCTCCTGTATCTATTGTTCCCTGGGACCTTGGCGAACGGCGTGGGCAGTCAGAGCTGTAGCCTGGCTGTCTAGTTGTTCTGTC